CAGCCACAGGGCCGTAGACCTCTCAGTCTGGCAAGCTAATTAGCGAGTCTGGTGCCTGTCTATCCGCCTGCGATGTACGCAAATCACTCGCGCCTGTTCGTCTATGGGTACATGCATCTGTGTGTGTGTGTGTGCGTCTGCTTGCATGTCCTCCTGTTTGCCATCCTGAGTGCGGCAAATCCTCTGTAGTAAGCTTGTAACTTGAATAACTTGGTTCTTTTGAAGAAAGAAACCAATGGCCCGAGTACTGTGGTTGGCCAATCCCTCATGTTTTGCACCCAGCCGACCTCAAGACACGCGCCTCGTCTGGTTTGCCCGAGTGTGAATGTCGACCCCCTAAAACCAACAAGTTAATTAACCCCTAAACCCTAACCCCTAAACCCAGAACCCTAAAACCAACCCTAAACCCTAAACCTAACCCCGGAAATCCTAAAGCTCAAGCCCTGAACCCGCTAAACCCTAAACCCTAAAGCCCCCCCCAAACCCTAAAACTCCAAATCCTAAGCCCTGAAGCCTTGACCCTAAGCAATAAAAACCCAAGCCTTTCGAACCTTATTGCCATGCCTGCCTTTGTGCCAGTGTGTGAGTCGAAAACCTAAACAAAAAAGAACGCTACAGCCAGTCAAGGAACCCTAAACCCTAAGAAAAAACCGTTAAACCCTAGCCACCTAAACCCTAACAAAAACCCTAACAAAAACCCTAAACCCCTAAACCCTAAACCCCAAACCCTAAACCCTCAACCCTAACAAAAACCCTAAACCCCTAAACCATAAACCCCAAACCCTAAACCCTTAACCCTAACAAAAACCCTTAACCCTAACAAAAACCCTAAACCCCTAAAACCCTAAACCCCAAACCCTAAACCCTAAACCCTAAACCCTAACAAAAACCCTAAACCCCTAAACCCCTAAACCTTAAACCCTAAACCCTAGAACCCTAAACCCTAGACCCCCAAGCCCTAAACCCTAAACCCTAAACCCTAAACCCCTAAACCCCTAAACCTTAAACCCTATAAACCCTAAAAAGACCCTTGAAGCCAGGCAGCTCTCCAGTCGGCCAGGCAGGAGCTGCAGGCTGGACCGGACACGGTGGCTCTGCTTTAGGGGGATTTAGGATTCAGGGGCTTAAGGATTTTAGGATTCAGGTGTTTCAGGATTTTAGGATTTTAGGATTCAGGGGTTTCAGGATTTCAGGATTGAAATTTAGGGTGTTTGCGACACTTTTTGGGTCTAGGGTTTCGTAGGATAGGGCTTTAGCGATGCTAGGCTCTAGCGTTTGGAAAGGGTTTTGGGGTTTTACGCTTCCCGGTTATTTTGTGAAGTTAAGGTTTAGGGTTCGGTAAGGACTTTGAGATTTTATAGTTTAGGATGTTTGCGAATCTAGGGCTGAGGGTTCGGTAAGGGTTTTAGGATATTGCGCTTTAGGGTTTTTGCGAATTCAGGTTACAGTGTAAAACGCAAAAGGTTTTCGGGTGTAGTGTGGCTTAGGTTTTGTGTGATTTTAGGATATAGGGTTTCGTAAGGGTTTTAGGATTTGGGGTTTGCAGGTTTTTTGCGTTTTTGGGGTCTAGGGTTTGATTAGGCTGTTTGTTGAACTTCAGGGTTCAAGGTTTTTGCGCTTGGATTTTTAGGGCAGGGCTTTGGCGATTTTAGGGTCCAAGGGTTAGGGGTTTAAGGATCTTAGGGTGTAGGGTTTTTGCGATTCAGGGGCTTTTGCGAGTTTAGCGTCTAGGGTTTGGAGGGTTTTAGCGTTTTTGGACTTTGGGTTTTCGCGGTTTTAGGGTTTGCAGTAAGAGTTTGTATATTAGAAAGGCGTTTTATTATGCTAGGGGTTTGTGTTTTTGCGCGTTTAGGGTATAGTGTTTTGTAGGGCTTCGGGTGTTTCGGTTACGGGATTTTGTCTTTTAGGGTATAGCATATGGTAAGGGGCTTCAGGACTTTAGGGCTTAGGTTTAGGGTAGTTTCTTTTGCAATGTTAGGGTTTAAGGTTTTTGCGATTTTAGGGTTTCGGGTTTAGTAAGGGTTGTAGGATTGTAGGGTTTTGAGTTTGTGCGAGAAGGGTTGTTTGGAAAGGGGTGCAGAATTTTCGGGCTTAGTTTTTTGCGATTTTAGGTTTACGGGCTTAATAAGAGTTTTATTAGTTTAGGGTTTGGGGCTTTGCGATTAGAGTCTAGGGTTTCGTAATGGTTTTAGGATTTTAGGAGTTCGGGTGTTTGCGAATTAGGGCTTAGGCTTATCGTTTAGCAAGGGTTTTACGTCTTGGGATTTTGGGCATTCAGGATTTTAGGGTTTAGGGTTTAATGTATGTTATTAGTTTGTTTTTGGTTTTTGCCATTTCAGGGTTTACGTTCAGTAAAAAGTTTAGGATTTTAGGGTTTAGGATTGTGGCGATTTGAGGTTTCAGGGTTTAGTAAGGGTTTCCAAAAGATCAAAAGGACCTCAAGGTTTTGGATGTTTGCGTTCTTACGGTTTAGGGTTTAGTAAGGGTTGTGGGATTTTATTGTTCAGGGTCTGCGAATCTAGGGTCTATGGCTTATGAAGGGTTTTAGAATTTTGGGGTTTCTCGGTTTTGGCGATCATAGGGTTTATGGTTTAGGATGGGTGTTCGGATTTTAGGGTTTAGGGTTTTTGCGATTTTAGGGTCTAGAGTTTGGCAAGGGTTGTTCAATTCTAGGATTTAGGGTTGTTGCGATATTTAAGGGTTAGGTTTAGTAAGGGTGTTAGTAGTTTAAAGGTTTTTGCGATGTGAAGTTTTAGGTTTTAGCGCGGGTTTAGTTGTTTTCGCGTTTGGGCTTGTTGTGAGATCAGGGTTCAGGGTTTAGCAAGGGTTTTAGCATAGGTTGTTTGCGGTTTTAGGGTCTAGGGCCTTGGGCTTGGCTGGGTTTTTAGGATTTTAGTGGTTAGGCTTTTTGCGATTTTGGGGTTTAGGCGTTAGCAAGTTGTTTGTACAATGCCAGGGTTTCGGGTTTTGGCGATGTTTAGGATCTAGGGTTACATAGAGTTTAGGGTGTTTAGTGTTTAGGGTTTTGTTTTTTTTAGGTATGGCGTTTGGTAAGGGCTTCCGGAACTTAGGGTTTAGGGTTTCTGCGATTTCAGGGTCTACGGTTTGGTCAGGGTAATAGGATTCTATGGTTCTCTGGGTTTGTTGGATTTTCGGGTTTCGATTCTACTCAGGGTTCGGCTCTTTTTGTTGAGTTTCTGGTTTTCGCGATTTTAGGGTTTAGGATTGAGTAAGGGTTTCAGGATTTAGGGTTCAGGCTTTTGCGTAGTCAGGGTTCAGGGTTTAACAATGGTTTCAGGATTTTCGTGTTTATGATTTTTGAGATTTTTAGGGTTTAGGGTTTGGAAAGGATTTAAGGGTTTTGGGTTTATGCTTTTTCAGGGTCTGGGGTTTAGTAAGCGTTTTAGGGTTTTGGGTCTTAGGGTTTTTGCGTCTTTAGGGCCTAGGGCTTGGTAAGGGTTTCAGAATTTTACGGCAGAGTTTTAGCGATTTTTGGGTTTCGGGTTTATTCAGTAGGGCTTTGGAATAGGGTTTTTGCGATGTTCGACTTTAGGGTCTAGTCTAGGGTTTGGCAAGGTTGGGATGTTAGGGTTTACGATGTTTGCGATTTTTGTTGGACTGTGGGGGTCTGGATGTTAGCGATTTCAGGGTTTAGGATTTTTTTTTGCGATGTTCGGTTTTAGGCTATGAGTTAGCAAGGGTCTAGGAATTAGGGTTTTTGCGAGTTTTGTAGTTTAGTATATAAGGAAAGACGCCGCCACAACAGCCCCGAGTTCTATCCCAGATCGTACTCGCCCCCCTGTTCCGAAGCTCTTCCTGCAGGAGCACGCTCAGCGCGATTCGAGCTCTGCTGATGACGAAAAGTATGGTTCTGAGATGGAAAACCGTGTTTCGGGCAGAGGCCTGTGTTTGGGGATGTTCGCCGCTTGGCGTTGCCTGTGTCCTCAATTTCGGACCAGACAGGAGGGCCGGGCAGGCCCGGTTTGAGAGTGACCTGTTCTTCAATTTTAAGAGCGTGGAGTAGTCACTGAAGGCCAGGGAAGTCGCACCGAGGTGTTGAGCCAGGGCTGGCTCGGAAGATGGACCCCAAGCCCCCCCAAAAATACGGGACCATCCCCTCCCTCTACCTTGTGCGGGCTACGTATTTCCACAACCCTGGATCACAACCGTCCTCCCCTGTTCTGGTGAGCCGGACCAAGGCAGGAGCAAAAGGCAGCCTTGGAGGAAGCCCGCCGCAAAGTCCTCGAGATGGAGGTGCTGGCTTTCACGGGGCTTTGAATGGGGTTCCACAGGAGTGCAGGGGGTCGGCTTAGGGAAAACTTTAACCCACCATAAGGTAATTCTCGCTGGGTTTTGTTACCATAAAGGGAGGCTTTTGGTTTAAGGCATGCGTTCAGCAACTCCCACAAGCATCAAGGGTTTAGGGTTTAGGCGCCATGCTTGATTTCCGTGCCCCTAAACCCTAAACCGTGTGCTTGCTTTGCATGAGCCGAAGGACCTGCTCGAAAAGCAGGAGAAGTCTTACCAAGAGCTCCGGCTCGGGGCCCAAGAATCAGTGTATGTCCCGTCTCATCCCCCAAGCTGGAATCACCACATGTTTGTATCTGTGAGTACATATGTATATATATATATATGTCTGTGTGTGTGTCTTTATATACACATATAAATGAACCCGTGTAATTTGTGCGTGTGTGTACAAACAAAGGAAATAAGTGTGTGTATATATATACACACACACATATATATATATATATGTACATTTATTTATATTGTGTGTTTATTTGCTTGTTCGCCCGTACTTCTGAATTCTTCTGGCTTGACATTGGGACATGTCGCCTTCTCGACGATCGCTCTGCATGCTGTATGTGTATTGCTTGCTAACCGAGTTCTTTCTACAGAACAGTGTCGTCATGGTGATTCCATGTACGTGTTTGGCTCAAGCGCGCCTGACACATCACAGCTCCCAGTCAGCATCTGTGCCTCCTGTTTTCTGTGAAGCCATGCGCGAGCTCGTCCACATCCAGGGAGGACGCATGCATGCAGCATATGCCTGTGGTCTAGAGCCTTTTTTAAAACACTTTTGGTTCGCCCCCTCACTGTGTGCAGCAGTCTGTCACATCGGTCCAGGGCAATGCGGCAATCAGATCGGTGCCAAATTCTGGGAAGTTATCGCCGACGAGCACGGAATTGACCCTACAGGTCGCGCCGGCTCTTTGCCTAAGCCTTCCTTTGTGAAGTTTGTTGGCTTCTGTTTGAGTTTCGCGGTCGCTGTTAAACGCGGTGGGCTGCCAATGTTCGAGCTCGTGAGCAGAAAAAGCCACGAATGCGGCAGGCACCTACCATGGCGACTCCGATCTTCAGCTCGAGAGGACTGTCATCAACCTAAAGAGAGCCTTGTAAGCTCCTTTCAACGGATAATAACAATCATAGTAATCATCACCATAATATAAAAAGAAAGGCAATAATAGTGGAAACTTGTTTTCTTGGACCTCAGACTGCATGTTGCTCACTGCTTTTTGTCAACCCTGGTCTAAGATAACCTAGGCCCTGAATGGCCGTCCGTCGTCCTGGCTAGTGACCGTCATTTCAAGTGTGCTGCCTCGTCGGCATGAGCTCGAAGATCAGAAGACAAGTAATCATGCTAATAACCGTAGTAGTACTGATACGAGACATAAGAGCCATGACCATATTATTGTTAATATACAAGTTAAAGTCGTAACCACCCTTGTTAATAATAATAATGATAATAATAATAGCAACAGTGGTCATAGTAATGATGGGCCAGCTGCCTGTGAGGATAAATGTCTACTTCAACGAGGCAGGAGCGCTAGGTTGCTTGCAGTTAATGCCTAAACCTCAAACCCTGAAACCCTAAAGGCATGCTGAGTTCTCATGTATTTCACACCGACTGAGCGCACATGGATCCTCGCCTGGCTTGTCCGAGTTGTGAGAGTATAAAACCCTAAACCCTAGGAGCCTTGGCGGCCTTGTGCGAGTGTGAGAGTCGAAACCCTACCCTCAGACCCTGAACCCGAAACGGATGCTCGCAGCATGCAGGCACTGGTTCTTCCGGTGTTACCAACTTGCTTTTCAGGTCTGTCCTAGCCGCTAGCCCTGCAGACACCCTAACCCTAAAGCCTAAACCCTAAACCGTTAAACCTACATGCCAGAGTCAAGGGTTAGTTTTTGCTGAGATCCCCTGTCGTTAGCAAGCCTTGATGTCGACGGAGGGCCGTTGCGGTATTGAAACTTTGAGCCTACTGCAAATTGAGCGTCCCCCATCCCTTTTTCAAGCCGACTGCGAACAATCAAGCTCGGCTGGCGAGTCTGATCTTTGAAGGCGTAGACTTATTGTTATCCTTATGATTACTGTCATGTTTGTTATCCTTAGGATCACCGTCATGGTTTATTAGCGTCAGTATCATCTTCCATGAGGCGACTGGTGGCCGCTACGTTCCCCGCGCAGTCTTGATGGACCTGGAGCCCGGTGGCCTGATCCGCAGACCTATTCGAGTCCTGTTCGTTTCATAGGGTTTAGGGCTTAGGGCTCCGATCGGTAGATTAAAAAGTACGAATACGAATACTAAAAAATACAGCTGATAAAAAATACTAATAGCTATGGGATCCTGACATGAAACACCTTGGTAGTATGCCGGTTTCTCTAGCGTAAATAGTGCAAAATCTGCTCACAAGACATCGTATAAACATGTTAGGTTGCGAAGACGAGTTTGCCCAGTCTTGCTTAAAGCGCAGCTTTCTTATTATTATTAAGTACTATTCCATGAGAGAAGTGTCGCCTGACATACCGTGCTGTGACACTGCCAACTTGCCATATCTTGCGTTTTCGAGTCTAAGAGACGAGGAGCAGTGAATGGATATGCATCGCTCGAATCTGGCGACACAATATAGGGGCCTGAATAATTGGAATAGGGTTTGGGTGTGTATTATAGTATAAGGAACCAACAAAACCCTATCCTAATTATTAAGGCCCCTGCATTACTAGCTTTGAAGTACCCACCAGGCACCATGGACAGCGTGCGTGCTGGACCTTTTGGGCAACTTTTTCGTCCGGACAATTTCGTCTTCGGTCAGACAGGCCCCACTGGCCATAAACATGTTTGCACGAGGGCACCATGCAATCATTTCCGGCCGCGTCACCCTGGCAGGGGCTGGCAATAACTGGGCTAAAGAAACTTGGCGCTGTTAGCTTTCTGCCATGCTGTCTTCTTGACTCGCATGCCGTCGAAGCGACGTTTTGCCTTTTGAACACGAAGATTGAAGCAGCATCAAGTGGGGAAGTTTCGGTGCTGGAAAACCAAGCGGTGGTGGACCCAGGGACATTACACAGAAGGCGCGGAGTTAATCGACAGCGTGTTGGATGTGGTGAGAAAGGACACTAAGGGCTTGTGGAGGTTTTTAATCTCCTGGACTGGTGCTTGATTTGTTTGGCATGGGCACTGTGCATTCTGTTCCTTGGCCTTCACGCCTGCAGGAAGCAGAGGGCTGTGACTGCTTGCAAGGTGCGAGGTTTCCGGGTGTGCTCCGCATGTTGTCCTGCTATAGCAACCGTTTGGCTGCATCCATTCTCCATGCTGCTTTCAGGCTTTCAACTTTGCCACTCGCTCGGCGGAGGCGTCTGTTTGGGGCACTTGGAGTTCGGATTGCATGAAGCAGTTCTTCAAGCATGCAGCACGAGGGCAGAAGAAACAAAGCCTGGCAGTAAAAGTGCTCGGCAGAATGAGGCCGCCGCCTTCGAGTAAGATGGCACACACAAGCATATATATATATATACATATATACTTATATATGTGTGTGTATGTAGGTGTCTATATACATGTGATATATTTTATAGTATTATATTATCATAATGAATGATATTTCATTATATTACATATTTTTATGCCACATCTTACATTTTGTTATAATGTAGATTATAATATGTTATTCTTCATCACATTGTTTTTTTACATTTTATTATATTACATATTATGTTATGTGTGGTACTACACTTGATATTACATCACATTGTACATTCCATGTGTTGCATTCTTTGATTTCTATATATTGCTTATGTTGTATACTACACATTTAATACACTTTAGAACTGATGTTAAATCATATATCATATATCACACACTCTCTCTCTCTCACATATATATATATATATTGATATGTATATATTCATACGGCAAATTGCACTTGAAATAATTCTACATACAGTGTTGCATATAGTATGTTAAATTATATTACGGTGTTTACTATAAACTATTTGTTTACATTATGGTGTGTTACATTGTTTATTTTTGGTATTATGTAATATATTTTATTTTACATTCTATCTTATATTACATTCTATTTTACACTGCATATTATGTCATATTATGCTTTGACATATCTATTACTACATTTCATTCTGTGTTCTAATACATCAGGTTTTTCATTGCATGACACATCATGCATTATTTCAACATTACATTATTGTTACATTGTATTATACAGTATATAAGCATTGCATGAAACACACGTACATACATACATTCACACATACCTGAATACATACATGCATACGTACATTACATCAATACATACACACATACATTCATTCATTCATGCATTACATACATAACATACATTACATACATACATACCTACATACCTGCATGCCTACATATGCATATGCATGTGTTTACATATGTATGTACACACATATCTTCTTTTGCTTGGCCTCGGCCTGGCTGCTGCAGGCACGGGAGCCGGAATGGGCACACTGCTTGTGTCAAAGGTGCGTGAGGAGACACGTGAGTCACGATGTCCATAGAGCTTGTGTTGGCGCATTTTCTGGTCTGAAAAAGTAAGATCACATTCAAGGCTACATGCTAGTTCCATCACATGGGCGGAATACTGATCTTGAGCTTATTGGTCGACATCGACAATACAGCTCGAATGGCTACAAGTCGGAGTATCCGGATCTGCATGGCAGGGTAGCCAGTACATAAGGCTCCAATGCAAGATCTGAAATCAGGAGTACCCGGACCGCATCATGGAAACGTTCTCTGTGATTCCCAGCCCCAAAGTTTCGGACACCGTCGTGGAGCCATACAACGCGGCTTGGCCCTTGCCAAAGCAAGAGACATGCTTGTCTGTTGCAGATTGTGCGAGGCTTTGATACGGAGTTTTGCTGCTGCAGTTCAGATCAGTGCTGTTCGTGGCTTGCAGGCTGTGCTGAGCTTCCACCAGCTCGTCGAGAATTCCGATGAGTCTTTCCTGCTGGACAATGAGGATGGGGGGGACCTGGCATGCAGGGATGGGAGAGCATGCGCAGGGTGGTGGTACATGACTTGGAAGTCTTGTTTTAGTCCATGCAATACTTGTGAAGTACTTTAGTGCAGGCTCTATACGACATCTGTTTCAGAACACTCAAGCTGACGACGCCGACCTATGGCGACTTGAACCACCTGGTGTCCGCAGCCATGAGTGGTGTCACCTGTTGCCTGCGCTTCCCCGGGCAGTTGAACTGCGACTTGCGCAAGATTGCCGTGAACCTTGTGCCCTTCCCGCGACTGCACTTCTTCATGACAGGCTTCGCGCCCCTGACATCCCGTGGGTCGCAGCAGTACCGGGCTCTCACAGTTCCTGAGCTAACGCAGACGCTTTGGCATGCATAGAAGAAGTTCCCTGATGAATTGTATGTGGCTTTTCGTGGCATCCTCCGGCGAGCACGAAGGTAGAACTGCGGTACTTGTCGTTTGAAGATCGATCCAGCAGTTTGGTTTCCACACGTCGACATACATACGCACCTCGCAGCTTCAGCAGAGCGAGAGGGAAAACCGCTGAAGAAGATAACGTATTTCGACCTGCTCACAGGTGTAGATTCGTCACATATGTGTATCCGCAGTTGTTAAGACGGACGTACCCACAGACTTCAGTGCTCACTTTTTCCGCCACAGCTGACCGGCTTGAATCCAGCAAAACTATGGTGGTGTCTTTAGACCTGGTGTTAGCCTTTCATTATTTGATGGTCTGGGGAGTTGTGGTAAGAGCATGGATGAGCCTAACCTGGCAGTCACTTACTGCGCGTCACACACTATCACACGGCAGTCGTCTCGCAGAACAAATATGACTGCACTATTGTACCTTCCTTGAGTGCTTTCTCCACGCTTCGAGCTACCGCAGTCCAAACACAAATTCGCAATGAAAGACTAGCAAAGACGAATCTACTTTTGTTGAGTTTTGCATGCACGCACAGACGTCATGGATTCCAGTGGTTCTTGCTGTGGAAAAACAGCTAGACTTCTTGCCTTCCTTTGTTTCCCAAACCACTCAAGCTGACAAAAAGGCAGATGTTTGACGCCAAGAACATGATGTGCGCAGCTGATCCTCGCCACGGACGCTACCTGACAGCGGCGGCACTTTTCCGCGGGCGGATGTCCACGAAGGAAGTAGATGAGCAAATGTTAAATGTTCAAAACAAGAACTCGTCGTACTTCGTAGAGTGGATACCGAACAACATCAAGGCTTCTGTGTGCGATGCTTGGCTCATGATTGGGGCCGGGTTAGGTTCGGTTGGGTTTTCGAAAGCTTCAGAGATCATAAATGTATGAAGCATACAGGCGACAGCGGCTGCTGAGAGTTTGGAAACAGTAAGGACATCCCACCCAAGGGACTGAAGATGGCGGTGGCGTTCGCGGGCAACTCCACAGCCATCCAGGAAATGTTCAAGAGGGTGGCCGAATACTTCACGGCCATGTTCCGCCGCAAGGCTTTCCTGCACTGGTACACAGGTGAGGGTATGGACGAGATGGAGTTCACGGAGGCCGAGTCGAACATGAACGACCTCGTCTCTGAGTATCAGCAGTATCAAGATGCGACAGCCGAAGAGGAAGGGGAGTTCGATGAGGAGGAGGGCGAGTATGACGGATGAGACTCTTGATGGGTAGGGTTCCTCAAAAGTAAGCCCGGCCTGACGTCTGAGTCATGCAGGCACAGATGGTCAGACCTTCTGAAGATGCACCTCTCGCGATGGGGCCAGGGCGAATTTAACCTTTGCGTGGGCTGTCAAGAAAATCTTGAAAGCAGTCAACTGAACATATCTGAACGTCACGATTTCGCAGCTGCTGGACCGCAGCTGGTATGTATAGACAGTTGTGACAAAAGTGCGTCCAGGTCATGGCTCCGGTGGTCTTCTTGTCCACATCGTGCCGTGTCCCAGGCATTCGTCTGCTTCATCGCAGAGCCCCAGCCCACTGTCACTGCTTCATCTCACAGGATCGCTTTGCACCTGTCCTCTATCAGTTGACCAGGCCGCGCTTCTGGCCGTGGGAACCAACTACAACTTTCACTGCTGCTGCTCGCGCAAGCTGTGCTACCAAGACTAGCACCCCTAAGACCGCTAAGAGTTGCTTGTTCGTGTTCTGCTGCACTACTCCCGCCGCCACCACCGATTAACCAGTACGTGTACACATTTATGATCATCAAGTTCGTCAGCTGCACATCCACTTGCATCAGCAGCGCCATCACCACCACCACATCCTCCACGTCCACCACCACCATCATCAGCAGCCCTGTGATTAAGATCGGCATTGTTATCATCATCCTGCAAAGGCTCGTGCAAGATGCCGCGTCTGACGAAGCTCTGCACAGACTGGCCCAGCTCGAGGAGGGTTGGTGGTGTAGCTTTAGGGGCGGTGCCGGGCACCAAAAAGACATGCCTAAAGATGCAGGGTCTTCGCAAGGCAGATAGTTGTTTTGCATCTCGTGCGGCCTCATAGCAGCCGCAGCGATGAAGCACGCATCCTTCGTGTTTGCTTGGCCGAGGAGGAATTACTTCAAAGACGAGCTGCAGAGGTGCAGGATGAGCCGCAGAGTCCTCAATGGCCGACGGCGCTGCACTGTCCATTCCCACAATGCACAATGCACAGCAAAATCACGTGATGGCAGCAGGAACATGGCCATTGCACCAAAAGGAATGGCTTTCCCAATGCTGCTATATCATAGGATCTCTTCTACCTAGGCAAGAAGGTGGCCTCTGAGCTGTTTTGAGGGCTCTGTCTCTGTCTCTGTCTCGCAAAAGTCCGTCGGCTCTCAAGCCGGCGTGGCCTGCAACTCTTAGAATGCTATGGCCACAAGTAGCCCCTGTGATCCCGAAACCCTCAACCCTACTAGTATAGTAGCCGTCGCCTCTATAATATGGGGTCAGAGCGGGTATGGCAATGCCGGCCCTTAGAGTCCCTACGGAGTCTTACGGCGATGATGTACCCAAAACTGTTGTAGTCGTTAAGGCGACGGCCCCCATATTACCCATGACAACGGTGAATGGTAAGACGTGCGACCGCAAGAGCTGAAGTTACCACGTCGGCAAAGGCAAGTGCCAGAATGGAAGATGAACGAAGCCCTCCAACGGATGGCAGAGCTGGAGGACAGAATTCTGGGTCCTGTTTGGTAGTGAGATGTAGTGAAGTGTTGCGAAAGTGCCATGACACGTAGCGACAGGAGATGACAAAGAAGCAAGAGGACAAAGCCATCGAAGACTCGTCTGCGCCCCAGGCTACTAGAGTCCATCTGGAGGACACTGTCATCTACAGCCGGGTACGGGCAGGTGGTGCTTTGGTTTCAAGAGCAGGGGTCGAGGAAGACGTTCTCCAGGTGGTGCTTCTCGAGCAAGCTCAGCTGACGCTTGCTGTGCCGTCTTGTTCCTGGTGTAGGCCCAGGAGGAGGCGCAACACGCTTTAGTAAGCCGCTTCGTGAGCGAAGCCTGATCACG